AGATTATTAGTAGTGTCAGGTATTCAATTTTTTTATGTTGTACTTGATGATGATACACTTAAGTGATATACATATTATTATTCATGTCGGTATTTTTTTTATGTTGTACTAATTTCGTTTACTCTTTGTCATGGCAGGTGTTGAAAGATGGAAGGGGAGCCGACTGAGGCCAAGGACAAACGTGCCCAAATTGAAGGTGTGCCACACCATCAAGGTAGCTCCAGCTTATATCAGTTCGGGCGGAATTGGGTAATGTGGTTTGCTTCATTGTTAATGCAATTCATTCATCATGCTAGCTTGAGCCCTTTAATTACTAATTTACTTTGTTTCTCTCTTTCAGGCATGCTACAATAAGACGGATAAGGTGCCAGAGGGGTACGACCTGTATGCCATGGCCCACACTGCCTCTTACAAGCAAGTCAAGGGGAAGGCGAGGAAAGGGGAGGAGTTTAACCTGAGCCAGATCCCCTACAATCCAGAGCAGGTGATGATATCTAGTGGCGGGAGGTCCCCTGGCTCCATAGCCATTGATCCAGAGATTGCTCCTGAGACCACGATGAGTTTAATTTGAATGGACGTTACTTGCTATCTTAACATTTGAGTGTCATCATGCTAACGAAACATTGGAAAATGATCTTTGGTGCAGCGTTACTCCACACAAGCATCACACGATCCTTCTCCAGCTACTGGCCTGAGCCAGCCCGCTCCCACACCTCCATGATCAAGGTAAGTTTCTCTAGTTTTTTGCTTAACAAATGCATAAAGACCTAGACGTAGCTTCTTTTCCTGCAAAATGACTTAATAAGCTTACTGACCTCCAAAACCAGCCATTTTACCTAAGTTAGCTCTAAAACGATCTATACTTAGCTTTGTTTCCTTCAAAATGACCTAAGTTAGTTATAATATGCTTAGTTAACTAGGTTTGCTCAATAATGACATGTACTTACCTTACTTATGTAAAAACGACATAATTAGCTTAGTTAGCTCATAAACGATCCATTTTACCTACATTAGCTCTAAAATGATGCATTTTACCTAAGTTAGCTCATAAACGATCTATTTCACCTAAGTTACCTTACAAACGATGGCATGCTTCTTCTTCTAGTCTTCTTCTTCTAGTCACCTTTTCCTAACTTTCTTATTTGCCATTTTGCAGATTTCATTCACTTCTCGGAAGCTAGCTTGCTATGATGGAGTGCTTGTTTTTAATTTCATTCTCTTCTAGTATTCTTCTAGCTTGCTACGATGGAACTTGCTATCTTGATGAAACTTTGCATTGTAATATGTATGTGCAACTTTGCTATCTTGATGGAACTTGCTATGTATGAGTGGATGGAACTATATATGTATGTACGATGAAACTTATGTGCTGTTAAATAGCTCTGTGAAATATATCTATATATGTCATATATATTTGCTGTGAAAATTGTTGGATTTAAAAAAATAGAAAAAAGAGCCAATATGCAGGCTCTTTGCCGTCAGCCACCGACGGCAAAGGTCTCTTTGCCATCAGCAGCGGACGGCAAAGAGGCCACGTGGCAGGCAACTGTGCTTCTTGGGAGGCTGACCTATTTGGTCAGTTTGCCAACAGTGGCTGACGGCAAAGAGAAAAAAAACTTTGCCTACAACGGCGGATGGCAAAGGCCTTTCGATGTCTGCCGTCAGCGGCCGACGGCAAAGGCTTGCCGTTAACCACCTAACGGAGTAACAGCGCAATTATTGCCGTCGGTATTCTTTGCCGTCGGCAGCTGATGGCAAAGGACCCTTTGCCGTCAGCCGCCCGAAGCGGATGGCAATGTAGCTCTTTGCCATCCCGTACGTTGCCCTCCACTTTTGCCGTCAGCGGCGGACGGCAAAGACCTTTGCCGTCCGCCGTGGCTGATGGCAAAGTAGCTGATTCCTGTAGTGCTTGGCCACGGTCGGCATAACATTTTCCTCAACGCAAGCATACAATTCTCCTGGTGTAGTAGCTACATGAAGTGAAACTCTCATGGCAAAGCAAAGTAAAATCTTATGACCAAATGTAATGGAAAATATAAATATTCATTGCAAAACTGGCCTGCCTTTTCAGATACTAAGAAAAAACAACAGCATGTCAGGCCATTATAAGACTAATAAACAACACCCTTTTCATTCACATCCATATCGTTCTTGCGGTTTCACTGCAGCAAGATTTATCCAAAAACCAGTGATAGAAAGGAACTGACATTGTGGTGCATCATGCATCATAATGGCTACCAGAACCATGTCAATGCATCGCCAATAATTACATAGAACTCAATTCATGGAAAGGGCATACAATCTCCACATGTCAATACTGTAAAACATGGAAGGCAGAACAAATTATAGCACTAAAACAATATGTAATTGCACATCATGATGGCATAGTTGTTATTGCATAAGTTGAGATAATCACTACGCAGAGCCTAACTGAACCTAGATAAATTTCAAGTGTATGTTTGAGCGATGCTGCTTGCCCGCGCAACCAGCAACCAAAAGGATAATTTAGTATTAGAAGTTCAAAATATGTACCTGACTTCTACAAAGCATTTCATCATCTCCGCAGAATCCTGGGATGTCTCTTCATTAAATCTCTTCATGTTGTTTCCTGCATTACAGAAGCTTATTTCAGAGAAGCCCCAAACAATCCATGCCAAACAAATTGAGAACTTAAAATCAACATCATAGCATAAAGTGCTTAATTATTTGAGTTAGTAATGTGCAGCACAACACAAACTACCAACTTTTAGCAGCCAATCTTCTGCATAAAGTGATTCATCTTAAAAAGCATATATAGACCAATCAATTAGATAGCAGGAGCACAAATTATCTTGAATCAACCCATCGACAGGCATAGCAAACTGAACCGTGTAAGAAAAATGCAGATACCTAAATAGTATCTCTTCCATACCTAGGATTGAAGTGATGGCCGCTGCTGCCGTCCGAGGCTAGGGTTCGCTGCTGGACGCGTGCGAGCACCTGTGTACCAAAAAAAGCATCAACATGAGGGGAGGGGAGGGGCCAAAAACAACAGCAGCATGAGGGGAGGGGAGGGGCCAAGAGCACCTTGACCAACAGAAGCAATGCTAGGGTTAGGGTTGGAGTAGGAGGGAGGGCGGCGTCTCGAGGAGTCCATGGTGTGAGCACACTCGGAAGCCGGGTTCGGATGACGGTGCCAACGGATCTGCGAGCGCCTTGGCCGCCGGCAAACCTGCTCGCGCTCTGTCTTCTCTTCCCTTCCATTCTGATGATGGGAGGGGGAGGTTGACACGCACGAGATGCGATATGGCCAGGAACCCGCTCGATTTGCAGGAGAAGGTGTTGCGAAACCGGATGGAGCTCCTCCCACTTGGTCGTGTACCCTGCCAGTTCCCCTTCCGCCGTGTACAGCCTCACCTGCTGCTGCTGCTCCGCCTGCGGCAGCGCCCACGCCTGATGCGGTCACACTAACTATCTGCGGCGGAATGCCATCTCATTTACCATTACATAACGATATGAATATGAACCTGGAAAACCAAAAATAACTGAATCTATCTGTTCTCATTTACTATTTGGATGAATAAATGAGACGATCAACAGGCAGAAAAAGCATAGTAAGTCCTACTACTAATCACACATTAGCAGTAGTTGTAAAAATATTTTGTATTCATTCCAGCTATCTGTTCTTCTGTCACGTCTCAAAACATGCTTTGTTATAGTAGATTTTATTCAGCTTTCCTATAGCTGCCTGAGGCAAAATATTGATCAAAAAAAATAGCTATCTCTAAACGGAGAAGCACATGACAGAAACATGACATGGTGAATTAGAGTTATACCCGAGGGCAAAATCACCAACGAAGAAAGATGGATCAGCTGGATGCCACACTGATGTTGGGCCTACTCCGGACCTGAAGTCGAATCTGGCCTCTTCATGCTGCAGTTTAGAGAGAAAATAAATCAAGAAGAGATAGGAGAATCAAAGCATGTTGATAGAGGGATAAAGGAGGGAGAGACGGGATCCGCCGTTGCGCCCAGGGCCGCTCCTGCCCAGGATGGCCTCGCTCTGCCGTCGTTCGCCTAGAGCCATTTCTGCAAGTCAGGGATGGCCTCGCTGCCACGAGCCAGGGCCGCTCCCGCCCAGGATGTCCTCGCCGCTGCGCTTGTGGCCAGTCTAGGGTTAGGTGGAGGACGCCACGGCGGAGGCGTGGCTGCACCACGAGCAGGCGCGGCGGGTGCCCGGGCGAGCGGCGCCGGCGGCGAGGCAGGGAGGGGGCGTGGGAGGGAGAGAGAGAGGCAGGCGCAGGAGGGAGAGAGGTTGCGG